GCGCGCTCTCTCTCTTTCTCTCTCAAAATACGCAAATGGCTTCAAATCACCACACATCGCATAAGCGAGCTGCACGCTGCACAGTTGACACAGGAATTGTCACTTGCACAGTCGAGGCAGTGTCACATCGTCATCTAAAGGTGATAAATTGCATTTCTTTTTAATTCTTGCCAGTGTTTAACCATTCAGCGCTCGCGCGCTCTCCTGGAGACCGTGCGCTCATGGACACTCGCAGCGCACACACACAATGCCAGGTTCACGTTACTCCGTTTGCAGCGCATACGTGGTGCGTATTTTTTTTGCGCTCATGTTAACGGATTAAAGCGTTCGCTGCACGCGGTCCGGCAGTGCGTTCAGGAGCGGTCTGCAGCAGCGCAGAGATCGTTTCCACTCCGAGTCTATTTTTGCTGCGCTGCAAGCACTGAGTTAAAGTGACAGCGCATTGTTTGCAGTAAATATGAACATGGATTGACACGAAAATCCAAAGCAACTTAATATATGAATCTAGAAGTAAATGCAAAAGTAAAAATCATTGAATAATATTGCTTATATTTATTGTGCTTAAACATGTCTGTGAAAGATTGTATTACTGTACTGTGATAAAAGAGAATCACAATGCTGAAAAAGCATTTTCAGTGACAATGTTTGGATTTGAAATCAAAATAATGGATAAATGTTGTTTGTGTGGTAAAAGGCCACGGATCATTAGCAGACTCCTGTGTGAAAGCTGCTTCCCCTCTCACAAGAGTCAACTAAGAGGGGAATTCCCCCCATTTTCAAAAATGAAATTCAGGCCCTGAATAAATGTCTAAAAATCCTGATTGGAGTATCGCTATAAATAGTTATAAATGATAAAAAGAAGGCTTTAAAAATATCGGTATCGGCAGATACTGCTTTCTATGATCGGCCTCAAAAATCCTGAACGGAGCACCCCTAATATATATATATATATATGCAGTTGTCAGGTAAGACCTAAAGCCTTGGGTTAGTTGCCAAATAAATGACACCGATGACCAGCGTCCATCCTGATGTTTAGTGAGCATAGCATCCTGCATCCTAACAGGTGAGGACAAATGAGCATCAAAACAGAGCGTGTTTAGGGCTTCTGGGAAGAATACACTTTATATATACATTAAAAGAATGTCAAAGCTCACCTTTAACAAGACGAGGAACTCGAATATTCGTCTGAAGGATGGTGGGAAGAGCCTGGCATATGTGACTGCCATCTTAAAGAATAAGGCGTGGAAGAGTCGGTCTCTCACGTTGATCAGGGGGTTCTGGTTCATCGCGGGGTTCCGGATCCGGTTCGGCCCACCGTTATTGTTGTTGTTCAGTGGGACGTTGTTGTTGTTCACATTGCCCTGGTTGTCGGACATGGTGGTCGTTGTTCAGTAACTTGATCAGGAGAAAGACCAGCTGAGGTCAAGCAGCCAGCAATGTGCGCAGATCCAGATGAGCAGGCCAGTCACACAGCATCAGCACACACTGATGATGATCCTGCTTCTCCAAAGCTGCACTGACCTTCAGATATCACCACAAAAACGCCCCAAAAGATGCTGAAATTTGTAAGGATGCTGGCGGGCAAGGCTCCTTCCCCTCCTACCATGTCATGCCCTAGCAAACTATTAAAGCTTTAGAGCATTTGGCACACCTGCTGATCATGTAGCTTATATACTGAGACCAGAGGAGTATTTCAGGCTGTTAAATTGTGTTTTAGACTAAATGTGTCCTGCAGATGTGACTCAGGCCTCCTGCATCCACTGTCACCCCAACCAAACTAACTAAACTTGCTAACTCACGCATTTATTTCCACAAACTATTTATTACCAGCTAAATACATAATATCCACTCGAGTTTGGAAGTGAAATCTGGCTCAGACGTTGTAGCTGAGAGTTTTAAATGAAAGAAAGAAAACTGCAATATTACACACAGCACGTCTGCTAACAGGGTTAAGCTAACAAGTTAGCCGAGCTTCCCCTGAAGAACCCGTATGTTAGGTTTGCTTTTAAACAAACACCTCCACATATAATGCTGACAATGTCTTCTTAAATAAGGCCTCAGATATTTGATGATATCCCGCCAGAACCATCCGATGGCAGCGACTGCAACCTGTCTTACAGACCATCTGTTTACACAACCATGTTCTGTTCTGGAGCGGAGCGGACTTGGGAGTAGCAGCAAAGAAGCTTTTAATAAGGAAAGCGTTTCCACTCGGGTCTCGCTTCCGCGGTTAGTCACATGACATCGATTCACGTGATTTTTGACCAAGCGAAACGGTTCCTTCCCATTTGATATTTACAATGAACTTAAATAATTTGTACATTACATTCTGTAATTCATTGAATCCCAATAATATATTTGATTTAATTTAATTTAATTCAAGTACCAAGGTCATACAGCGTATTGTTTATATGTACCAAATAGTTACTCTAGTTGATAGGTAATAAGTTATAAAATAGGTTACTGAAACGTGGAAGGGCTAGTCTGTAAAACAGCTACGGTACATGTCACTCGGTGAAAGTACCATTTCTAACATTATGCTTGTATAGCGACGGGTTGTGGTGGGATGACCACAGGACACAGGTCAGAGTATATATATATATATATATATATGCATATACTGCCGTTCAAAAGTTTGGGATCTGTAAGATTTATTTTTTTGAAGAAGACATTTCTGCTCATCATGGCTGCATTTATTTGATTAAAAATACAGGGGAAAAAACAGTAATATTGTGAAATATTATTACAATTTAAATTAATGTTTTTTTATTTTAATATCATTTAAAATGTAATTTATTCCTGTGAGCAAAGCTGAATTTTCAGCATCATTACTCCAGTCTTCAGTGTCACATGATCCTTCAGAAATCACTCTAATATGCTGATTTATAATCTATATTGGAAACAGTTTTGCTGCTTAATATTTTATTTTTTATTTTTTTGGAACCTGTGATACTTTCTTCAGGATTCTTTGATGATTAAAAAGTTAAGAACAGCATTTCTTCAAAATATAAATCTTTTGTAACAATATACACTACTGTTCAAACGTTTGGGGTCAATAATTTTTTTTTCTTTTTGAAAAAAATGAATGCTTTTCTTCAGCAAGATGTGTTAAATTGATTTAAAAAAAAGTGATAAAGACTTATATTGTTAGAAAAGTTTTCCATTTTAAATAAACGCTGTTCTTTTTAACTTTATTCATCAAATAACCCTGAAAAAAGTATCACAGGAGCAGGATGCAAAAAATTTTTAAGCAGCACAACTGTTTTCAACACTGATAATAAATCAGCATATTAGAATGATTTCTGAAGGATCATGTGACACTGAAGACTGGGGTAATGATGTTGAAAATTCAGCATTGCATCACAGGAATAAATTATATTTTAAAGTTTTTAAAGTATATTAAAATAGAAAACCATGATTTTAAATGGTAATAATATTTTATATAATAATATATAATATAT